ATTCTTTTTTGTTAGTAAGAAAGTACCTCAGTGATGGTCCCTGTATAAATTTGGTCAACATCTACTAATTGGGTCCATGAGAAAAATCCTCAAACTCTTCATTTTTTATGTATGTTTAGCGATAATTCTTTACCACCTTGTCCAAATTCTATAATTCTTCTTTTGTTAGTAAGGGGGTACCTCAGCGGTGGTCTCATATAAATTTGGTTAAGATGTGGTGACAGCATCTGCATGATTTTGAAGTCGGTTTTTTTAAATTACTTTTAATACTTGTTTATTTAATATCAACCCATTTTAACCCCCTATTTTTAATCAGATTTTTTCAAAATCATTATAGAGCTAGTTTTTTGCCTAAAATTTTCAAGTTGATATCATTTTTCGTTTTTGACTTATCGTGCAGACAAAAAACATGACATCGGACAAAGTAAATCTATAATACTCCTCACAGACTACTGTGTGAAGACTATAATAATAATATAATCAAAGCTAAAATAATAACATAGGCGCATTCTACATTATTAAAATCAAATAAACCTGTCTGACAAAATATAAAATGCAAAATAATAATAGTACGCAGTAGTTCTATAAGGAAGAGAACAAATGAGATAAACTGAGACTTGTCTGGGCGCGTCGGTACTCGTAATGGTTACTCGTCAGCTGTAGGAATCAGAAGTACTGAGTACTCTAAAATAAGTACTGAAAATTTTTCGAGTACTCACGAGTACCAATTATTGAGTACTTTGAGTTCTCAAGTACAATTTTGAGTACAGTTTACTCGAGTACTGCCCAGCTCTGGTTTTAAAATCAATAATATACATTATTATTGAAAATTTATATCAAAGAAGGGCAGGTTGACATATAAAAATATAATTTGGATAAACTTGCAACCTAGTAACAATGTTGTTTTGGTCCATATTTTAAATCAGCATAAAATAATTAAAACACAATACACGACAAAATAATCCATTTTTTTTAAAAACTAAACTTTAATAAGGTATATAAACACACTATAACTCGTTGTCAATAAATAATTTATATTATATTTTATTTGTTAATAAAATGATGCATATACAACTTACAAAACAAGAAAGTAGTAATTGGTTGCCTAGATATTAATAATTTCTTACTGAAATACAATTTTATAAATAACAAAATTATATACCGATATACCAAGCACCAAACGCCAAGTTCACTCTGCCGAGTTCTGACAAATTCTTTAATTATTATATCCATCTACAATAGGAGTTTGTGCAACAAGAGTGAATATGGACAATCCACTCAAGTTGTACAATATATTTTTTCTATGACCCACTAACGAAAATCTACAAATTTAACATTTTAGGTTATTAAGACAAAATGACTAATTTTAAAATAATTTATGACTTTTAGTAGTTTATAAAACAAAATAAACATGAAAATAAAAATAATTTAATTTAATTAATTCCCAGATTAGATTTGAACCCGGGCCTCTCGCATAGAAGCTAAACGCCGTTATTCACCTACACCGACACACTTATCATTTTAATTTTAATACTTGTAATTAAATTAGTTTTATATTGTTTGATTAAAATTTTAGATCTATTTGTAAATGTGGACGAATTAAAAATAGAAATGATATTATTTATCGATTCTACAGAAGTACAACTCATTTTTACCTTTATTTAATCTCAGTAACTAAAAAAATATACTGAGAATAAGTTTGACAGAATTGTAACTATTATAAAATTTCAAAAATAAATAGTAGCTGGGTTACTTTATTTTAGTCTAAACTAATTTTTAAATTTTTATATTACTGTTAATGGGCCGTAGAAAAAATAAACTGTACAACTCAAGTGAATTAGCCGTATCGCACTCAGACTATTAGGCACTCCGCCTACTACGTCGCCGTGCTCAAACTTCGTCTTCGTGCGATATGGCTATCATATCCATTCTTGTTACACAAACTACTATTTTCTACACCCACATGGATATTAGCTTATCTACGCACAGACAAAAATAGAATAGCTAATATTCACTGCCCCCGCAACTGCGCGTGCATCGGTAATACACGGTAAGTATTGTTTTAAAATTATATATTTATATAAATACTACAATTATTTGAAAAACATGAATTAATAAATTATTTGTACAATGTAAATCTGACTTTGGGATTGTCACTTGTTCGAACCGATACAATAACAAAACTGAACAAAACAATATGGTTATGAGAGAGAGAGAGAGAGAGAGAGAGAGAGAGAGAGAGAGAGATATGCTTTATTGTCGTAAAAAAATTTACAAAAATTTTATAGACAAAGCGTGTAACTTAAATACTAAACATATTATAAAAATAACTAAACAGCAGAAAAAACAAACAGAAACAAACAGACAAAATAGGAATAACAATTGCAATGGATATGCAATATCCGTCATTATAATTATTCTAATTTAATTTTTAAATTTAAATTTAAATTTTAATATTTAATTATTTAATTAATGCCATTGTATGTGGAACTAATGTCTAAGGTACGTTATAAAATTTTGCTACTGTGTAATATGGTCTTTCTAGAAGAAAAGCTTTAGCCAGTCTTCGGAACTTATCGTATGTATTTATAGATTTTAATTGCATCGGAAGGTTATTATACAATTTTTTGGCATTGTAGGTAATGGAATGTTTTAATAGGTCAGAAGTGGGCATTGTTAAATAAACATCAGTCTCTAAATTTCTTGTAGGATATCTACGAGTCGGTCTTTCGGATAAATTTTGAATGTGCTTGCGAACTAAGCAGACGGATTCGAAAATAAATAGAGCAGGAAGGGTTAGAATTTTGAAATTTTTGAAGTAATTTTCGCAATGTGTCCTACTACTTAAACCAAATACATAGCGGATTGCTCTTTTTTGCAGTTTAAAAATAGATTCGAAAAGGTATAAGCTACAAGAACCCCAGAAAGGTAAACCATAGCGAAGGTGAGATTCGAATAAGGAAAAGTAGGTTATTAATGCAGTAGAAGGAGTCAGCTCTTTAGAAACCGATTTAATGGCAAAACATGCGGAGGATAATTTTTTTGCTAAGGTATCTATATGAGCAGACCATTTTAGAGAATCGTCTATATAAAGACCTAAAAACTTGATTGAAGTCACCGTTTGGATCAGATTATTGTTTAAAGTTATAGGTTGTAAAGTACCTCTGTAAGACAATGCTACAGTTTTACTGGTGTTGAAACAAAGTCCATTCGAATCAGACCAGGACTTAATAGTCACTAGATCTTCACTTATGATAGATTGTAATGTCTGCATGTTAGAATTATTCCAGGTTACACTGGTGTCATCAGCAAATAAAGTAATTCTACCACTTATTCTTAAGTCTGTGATGTCGTTGATGAATAATAAAAACAAAATTGGACCTAATACTGATCCTTGAGGTACTCCACTGCTTATTGCTAGATTTGTAGAATCCTCACCATTCGCCCGCACCTGCTGAATAAAACGTGGTAAGTACTTTTACTTATATTTAATTTTAGTTTTAGTTAAACATGTTAAATTTAAAATTAAGCAAAGATATTTTGATGTTTTAACATGTGTTTAGCAGGTCCTGTTCGTAATAAATTCATAATATCTAATTGTAATAGCGTTGTTTGTATAAAGGTAAATAGTACAATTTACTGTCCAATTTATGCTGTACAATTTAAGAACACATTTTTTTTATTTCCTTCCGATATTAAGCAAGGAACTAAATGATGCCGCATAAACTTCATCATTCCACTTGCGAAAAACCATTTATAGGTTACAAGACTGTAAATTGGCTTTACCTTTGGTACCCTCGAAAGCTAAATTAACAGTAAAGAGTAATACTAAAGTAATATTGTTATCATACCGTCAAACAAATTACCAGTGAAAAGAAAGTTACATTCGATTAAAATTTCATCCAATGAAATATAATTATTATCTAAAAAACAATAATTAGCTCTTGGATTTTTAAATCAATCCAGTGAATGGTTAGCTCCAGGGAGAAAAAACTCTATTTTATAATTAGAAAACAGCAAAGTAAAATTTGCGAATCAAAGAAGGACCTCAAAGCTTGATCCCGCAGATATCTGTTTTTTTAAAAGTACTACATCTAATTAAAAGATGAAGGGACTACCATTATTAATTATAAAATATTATAATGAAAGTATAAAACTGTGACAATGTCTAAAAGAAAAAAGAGATTCAAAATGATATGAAGTTAAAATACTACTTTGAATTTTTTCTGTTTCAGATTATATGGATGGTTCTCCTTAATGTGTTTTGTTACCTACCCAAGTTTACAGAAAGTTTTAGTTGTTTTATTAAAATATTGTTTATTTACAAAATTTATTATAAATTAGTTTTAATAATATAATAGATAATATAATTATTTTATATTAAATTATTTTACCCTTCCTAAAATTATGGGTCATAAAATTTTACATTTTGATTGGCATTTTGTTACATCTTGCACCTTGTCTGTGTTGTAAAAAATGCCAATAAAAATGCAAAATTTTAGTTATACTAATTAAAGTAGAGCTACAAACAAAATCCCGCTAATTTTTAAATAAAATAAAATATGCAGGTATCTATATTACCGACTGAGAAATAGTTGCACAAATCCCTTACCGGTGGCGCTGTAAGCAAACCTGTTGCCATATTTCTTCAAAGAAACGGCAACTCTTAATTATCCTTCCTCTATGCTCTTCCCGCCCAAGATGGTCGCAGAAATGGCAAAATCCACAGTCACATCAGCGCGTAGCGCGGAAACTATGCTAGTTAGAAATATGTCAGTTTTATTGATTGGTAGATCTCACTGAGAATAGTAATAATACCCTAAAAACACACTTTTGAAAAATTTTGTGGTATGACACTTTTCTGTAACGGGTGCGATATATTTAAAGGGCGCCAACATATTTCCAGCACGTGGGCGGCAATAACCCTCGCAGGGGACTGCTTATATCAATGTGGATGTAGAAATAAAAATGTTTCCATGCAATTTCTACTTTATATTATACTAGATTATATGCGTGAATTCTAAAATAAATACAATTATGCTTAAAATTATACAAATAAAGTAGATACAAAATGTCGATTTCAAAGTAGTTATAGTCAAACTTTTAGCTTGAAGAGACTTGCTAATTGCTGTTAGTGCCTTAGATTTTTTATATGCTCTATCTATGCCATTATAAAGTTTATTCATGAATCCAATTTGTTTTAGAATCAATATTTTCTTGTTAAATATATCAATTAAAGGATGCCCTTTCGCAAAGTACATATTAAAGAAGAAAGAATGTTGTTGGTCTCTTTTCAAAATGTGCACCAATGATCTGCCTTCAGAGTCTATGAACCTTTCTATTAGCACTTTTAACAACATTGTGTTGATCTCACTAACTTTATCTTTTCTAAATGCTGTTTGATTCCAACAAATGTTTAAATCTTCTTCAATTTGTGGATTATTAGTAAGCACATATTTAGCAAAAGGGTGTTCTGATTTTTCTAAGAAAGTTATCGAATGTCTAGCAAGGCAAATTCTGATTCCGTTTTTCATTACATCATTCAGAGTATTTATACTCTGATATGATTGATCTGTATTCATAAAATAGTACAGTTTAGATTTGTATATAGTAGATATTACCACGCAGTAAAAAATGAAATGTATGAATAAAACTTTAGATGAAAATGAATTAAACTTAATCAATGCAGGACCTTCAAGCATAATTCGAACTATACTCATTATTATCGAAAAATTGTAATGTTGAAATGTTAATTTTCTTATTAAGTAATGTAATAAACCCGCTATTACTGCAATTACTAGGTATAATATCCAGACAGTAACAGAAAATGAACCATAAAACATTTTCCAATTGTTTGTTATTATAGTTTTACCTATAATATATTTTATTGAATCTCCTATTATCATTTCTGTTGGCTCCAGATAGTATGACTCATATGAAAAGCGAATATAAGGTGATACTATAAAATCGAATTTTTTAGCTTTTAATTCTAATATCATACCATAGGCGGTACCATTTTCGTATAAAAATCCAGCATTTTCATTTTCAGACAGTATGTAGTTTAATTTCAGATTTAAATTGTCAGCTATTTCGTTAATTATTTCTATATGTAATCCTTTTTTCGTATTTTGTACAAAGATCTCATCAATAATGTATCCAACATTTAGTTCAGTAATTTCCTTCGGTTTCATTCTTAAAAATATATCATTTGCTTTGATATTAGATTTGCCACAGTAATTGGGAATGACAGATAATTTCAGCGTTTCGTTTTTTGTTGTCTTGTATTGAAAAACTTTGATTACACCCTCGTCATCGATAGTGACAATTATAACTTTGTAGATAAAATAATGTTGTAAAGATTGAAAAATGGACATCTGAAAATGATTATAAACTATAATAATAAACTTTCCTCTTGTATTTAGTAAAATATTTTCATACATTGTTTTAATAATATCATGCAAGTTATTCCGCACTTTAATAATATAAATATCTGGCAGTCTTTGTCTGTAATTTAATAAAGAATTATCCACATCATATTTTACAACAGGAAGAAATAAATTCAATTCGGTACCGATTAAAAAAATTTCATCATCAGCTTTAACTGTCAAATTTAAAATATTATTAACACAGTTGTCTATAGAATTTTTATAATTTTTAACAAGTTGCTCATTTAAAATTATAACTGCAACAGCTAACTTTAAGATTATAAAAATTAAATTAAATTTTACCATTTTTTAATTTTCACGTTTAGTTGGACTGAGCTGTTTGAAACGCGCTCACTTTCGTATACCTATTGAAATTAAATGTTTTCTAAATATTACCCTAAAATTGATTGATTTCATAAATAATGACCAAGAATTATAAAAAAGGCTAATGGTTTTTTTTTATCTACTAATAAAGAGATAAAGAGAACAAACATTAAAAGTCGATCATGTGATTGCTTATAAATACTTCAAATTACGAGGCTTGTTATATTGATTACGTCTATTATTGTAGAAAGTAAAAAAACCGCCCCACCAGGGGTCGCAAGCTATTAGACAAAGCTAGCGGCCGCAGGGTGTTACGATCGTACCTCCGGCTGAAATTTTGTGGTTGGCGTGCCCATCAGGAAGTGTCATCTACAAGGATTTAGTTTAGAACCCCTGTAAACGTGATGTCAGATAACACAAAGTTTTCAAAAATACCGCCAAAAAAAAAGCCGATCGTACCTACCTCAAGCTGAAAAATTACATGTACTTTTTGGGGGTCACAGATGAGGTAATGAAATCGTCAGATGGCTAGGCCACTGCTAAAGGGGTGTCAGACGCCCTTAAATTTTCTTGTTGACTTTTTTCTTACGTTTTAACATAATATATCGGAGTCCTTCTTAAATATATTATAATCCAAATATTATCCATATCTCAAAGTGGTCCGAAGTAGATTAAAGGGAAGTAAAAGGCTCAAAGTCTGTCGACCACATAAATTTATTAGGTTGGGTTGCAAGCGCTTTCGACCTAAAAGGTCATCATCAGGCAAAAAATTTTTTGTAAGTGAGTAGGTAGGTAGGTACAATCTGCAATAATAATTTAGGATAACAAAACGTTTTTATAGAAATGCTAGGTGTCTTACCACTATGTGTCCACAGAAAAAATTAAATATGTTGAATTAAAATTTTAAATTGTAAAAATTTTTGTAAAAATTTATAAATTGGCACGTACTGCCTCCCTCATTCGAGGTTGGATATTGTTCAATCTTGAACCTCGCCTGCCTCCATCTAATGAAGGTGGTTATAAAAGATAATATCAAATTTAAAGTTCCACATGTGTGCTTAAGGCACCATGTGAAAAATGTAACTTTTAGAAAAATACCGTTACTCCCCCTATCCCCAGTACAAATGGGGTAGACGGAGTTTGGTTTGTGTACACCCTTAAGCCTAGGCTTAAGGGGTATCATTAATTAATAACTTTACTTAACTTAGAGAATTTTACTTAGCACCTTCGTCATTCAAGGGTGAAGTTGAATGAGAAAATGGTGGAGAATTTACGACATTTGACAACTGACATATGATGGAAGACACGTAGTTACAATTATGGTTGAGATAATAATAATAATTAAATTTGACATTAGTTAAATTGAATATGCTAAATTAGTTTTGTGACAAATTTTATAGTATAAATTTAAACAATTTGACAGGATGTCCAAGACTTTGGAGAGGCCACGAGTAAATTCTGTTGGTGTTATAAAGTTAGAGTGACATTTGATTTTTTTAAAAAAAGAAGAATTTGACATTAGACATTAGATTTAGGTTAAGGAAATTTATGATATATATCAGGGCTGGTATATCTAAGGGGGTCGCGACATAGACCCAGTAAATAGATGAGGGGGTGACTGAGGCTAGGGGGGAAATAGTAGTCAGCTTAAGTTGGCAACACTTTTCTGACGTTCGTTTGAACGAGCATCGAGCATAATAATGTCAATATGGTACAAGTGGAATGAACCACTGTTTTCCTCGTCGTAGTCCAATGTCGAATTAAAACTAAAAACATTTTGTACTTTTTTATATACCAAATTATGCAATTTGTTTCCATTTTATTTTAATGTTACATGAATAGGTACATGTGTTTGTGCTGCGGTAAATAAGTGTTCATGTGAAAATTATCTCTTAAACTACATTGTGATTGCACTCATCTCAAAACTGAATGCTGTAAATCCAGGATTTAAATCTTTCATAGTGTTGCTTGGGATAAATTGTAAAAAAGGTGTTGGACAAAACGTTTACAACCTAAAATTGCATGAAAATCATGATAGAAGAAGGAATTTTACCTTTATGACATTCTCTTTCAACATTTTTAAGTGACTTTGTGGTTTGGTGAATGGACTGTTACCACAGTCAAAAGATTCAAAGTAAAAAAAAAGTGACCAAGTTCTAATAAGAATACATAAGTTGAATATGAAAATGTAATTACTTGATTTAAATGTGATTTAATTAAGAGTTAAATAGAGGTTTCATATAAACAAAGTGCTGTAAAATGTTAGTAAATGCAAAACCATTATTAAAGAGGAATTAGTTATCATCAATAAGATATTTTGTAGTAGCTGGTCTCTATAAATAATAAACTTGAAAGACTGAATTAGTAGTCACTTTTACACTAGAAGTAAAAACAAAAAAAAATGTGTGGTTGAGACTAATTTATGTATTTAATAAAAACATATTTAACATAAAAGCAGGTGTTATTTGAAATGTTTTATTTTAGTTTAATAATCTTTATAAATTGTGGGTACATTTGATCCGAATCTTGCAAATACTATAAAATGCATATGCTTCTATATGGTTAGTATTGGAGTAGAAGCACAAAAGTTTTGAATAAAAATATAGATACCGGAATACTTTGCTTGATTACTAAACTTTGGATGTTTTTGTTGTAGTCTGCTGTTAACACTATTGTCCTGAAATATTAAAAAAGCTAGACAAAGGTTTGTCCAACTCTTTTGTCAGCTTTGTTAATCTATGCTACTGTTATTCTGCATGCAGACATTTTTTACTGGAGATTTTCTCTAAGAACTGTATTCAGTTTCAAATTTCGGCCAGTTTTAGGAAAGTACCTCTGTTATAAAGGTATTTCAAATCCATCCTTTGTAAGATGTAGACAACAAATACATGCTAAAATGTATAGAAAACAAATGGCAAGATATTACACAAAATTATTTAAATTAACTAAAAACATACAAATGAAGTGAATAATACCTACCAACAATTTAAAAAGACCTAAAATAAATAGACTTAAGGGACTGGAGCTCTAAAAAAGGGAGCAATAATTTGTTATGCATTATCTATAAGAAAATTGTCTTAATCTCTTCAATTGCCTTTTAAAATAAACAAAACTAAAACAGCACAAAATTAAAAGTGATCTACTTTTCCCGACGTATTTTATGTACATTTGAGATTAATAATTTATTAAATTGAAATATTTTATCCTAAAAAATATGGGCATTTTATAATGGAAATGTCATTTAAGAAATGACATTGATTTTTTTTCTTATATTGGTAAACCTGGCGACTACAAGTTGCCACGTTGCCAGATCAGTGGCGACTACTATTTCGAAAAAAATGGCGTCCAAAATGGACTCCTATGTCGCGACCCCCTTAGATATACCAGCCCTGATATATATGAATTTTTTGAAAAAAAGGGGGCTATTATATATATTATTACAAGTAAAAGGTTGAAGGATTTACAAAGGATTTAGGAAACTTTAGAAGGTTAATCTGGAAAAGATAGGCTTATATGTAGGTTGTAATTGATCATTTAAACACACCACATCTGGGTTATTAATATGTTGATGAATGTAATACATTTCAAGTAAGTCCAGCCTAATGCTTTTGGGGCATTGGATAAGAAGAGAGGCGTTATCTGGAAAGGTGAAGTTATGTTTAGTATAGAGAACATGATTAGCAAATGTGGAATTGGTATCTAAAATATTCGAGGATTTATATCTGTTGATGGTTTTGTAATGTTCTAAAATTCGGGTTTCTGTCTTTCTTCCTGACTGGCCGACGTAGATGGCATTGCAATAATTACAATTCAGTAGATATACCCCTGGTTTATGAAAAGTGGGTACAAGATTTTTACAACAATTTTTACAATTTAAAATTTTAATTCAACATATTTAATTTTTTCTGTGGACACATAGTGGTAAGACACCTAGCATTTCTATAAAAACGTTTTGTTATCCTAAATTATTATTGCAGATTGTACCTACCTACCTACTCACTTACAAAAAATGTTTTGCCTGATGATGACCTATTAGGTCGAAAGCGCTTGCAACCCAACCTAATAAATTTATGTGGTCGACAGACTTTGAGCCTTTTACTTCCCTTTAATATATTATAATCGTTAGACGAACAGCTCGCTGCAAATTCCTCCTGTAATACCGCGATCTTCCAATGGAAAATATGTTTTTGTTATGCCTCGTTGAAAGCACCCTGTTTACATAATGTGTTTGAGATCAGATAATGGCGTTTCTTTGAATAAACCCTTTTCCGTTTAGCTTAGCGCTTAAAAGAAAACATTAGGTATTTCAATAAGACGACCTTTCCCAAGATAATACAGTCAGTAAACAATAGGAATGTTTCACAGATGGTTAGTGGGTGGATACACAACATGCTCCCAAAGCGAGCAGTAAACATAAGTGTAGAAGATGTGAATAAGAGGCTTGGTTACGAAAATATTGTTACAGGTTTTTTTCTACCTAAACCTAGACTAGTCTAAAACTACGCTATTTTACACTACTCTAAGCTATTCTAACCTAATATATTTCCTATCCTACCATATTGTAAGTTATTTTAACTATTTTACACTAGCTAAACTATCCTAAACTATTCTAACTTATTCTATTT